TGCAAATGGCCAACCTTGTAATAAACATTGAAGAAATATGAATTGTTACTCAATAACTCAATGAATAGAAATAATTGACTAGCTGTATGAAGCTAGAGAACTCATCATTGAATGTATAGGTTGGAATATGCAAGGTTAATGATCTACAACACTGGTAGTCTATAAATTTTTCATGACTTGGCTGCTTGATGCTTTAATACATTGAACTGAATTATGAAAATGTTTCAATAAAGGCAACAAGATAATGCATGAACTTTGCTTGCTCTCCCAAGGATTTTTGCCTCAAACAGGTACATAATTATTTTTTTACAATTCTGGTCAGATATATAATTTTTATATTTTTCTCATTTTCAAGTGTTTGAAAATGAAATGCAAGTAGATTTCAACCTAAGAACTGATTCACTTCAATATGATCTTAAATGATAATTCTTAAGTTTCATTTTCATTTCAATACATATCACATACAAAAATGTTGTTTCAATAGCAAAAGTATAAAACAAGATTCCAAAAGGACTAAACAAAATGAAAATGTATCCAAACAAACGTGAAACCAAATAATAGAATGTAACTTTTTGTCAACTCATATCTATTAGTTCTTCCTACTCGTTCATGAAATCAATACAAAAGACAAATAAAATTGATGCAATTTCATTTTGATAAATTGTTCATGCATCAATGGTTGAGCAAATTATAATTCACAAAACCAATGTTGCTGAAATTAAATCTTCAAATTCTGAAACATTAATAAATAAGTCATTTTTTAAAACCAATCTTAGAAAATGATCAATTTATAAATATTAAAATTTTTGCCAGATTTGGAATTGGAGAAATCCCGGATTTCATTTTTGGCCTTTCTAACTCTTTCTGCCAAGTTTCATCAGAATTAGAATTTATAATTGACATATCCACTTGCTTGGACCACTTTTCAAGATTAACCATGACCACATAAAGCCATATCATATGCCAACTGGAAAATCAAAGATATGAGGTATTAGAATAGAGCCTGGTTTTTATAAGGAAGTAATTCTAGAGCAGCAGCAATCAATGTTCCCATTGCACTTCATACATAAATCAAGTATTCAATCGAGTTATCTGGCTCAAGAAAACCATTCCATTATTGCTAGATAATGTCCCAATCATTCTTAGATAAACCTATAGTATCAATCAGAGCAATAGAAATGCTCATCAGTATTAGTAACAGATTAGTAATGATCTCATCAGTAAAACTGGTAATTTTCCAATCACATATAATAGAACCCATCTATCTGAATCCCACTTGGACCAGCCAAAAGTGTTTGAATTAGCTGGTGTTCATATTTCAATGTTTCATAATACAGCGGAAGATAAGATTGGGACCAAGAAATAATGTTCACTTTGAGAGGTGTTCAGATATACCGGTTTTACTGTATTCTCAACACAAAGGCTAAATGTAAGAATTACATCTAGTTTGAAGAGTGAATATGAGCTCTCTTAAAGAGTGAACTGATAATGTAAGTCATGTACCTTTTCAGTTTTCAAGGAACAGCTGCAACATGGAAAAATAAGCTCCCTGTTATAACCTTGGGTCTCATTAATCAAAATCACAATATATTCCATATGTGCTTTAACTTATCAACAAGCTTTGAAGTAGTAGGGTTAAAAACAATATTTCAGTTTAAAAATATATATATTTAGAAACATTTGTCAAATACATAATAGTCATCAGAAAAGAAATTGTGGAGGTAGTGTTTCCTATTGGTTATAGAGCCATGTTGCTTCTAGCTATGCCGGGGAGATCATTTGAAGATGTATAGGAACCGTAAACCTTATGATGTATCACTGGATCTGAGTTAAAAAGTCAGCACATCTTAGTAAAGATAACCTCCATACCTTCAGTTTCAACATCCTATTTCAAGACCTTTATCAGGTCTCTTGAAAATGCCTCATTTACCTTGTGAAGACTGCCATATTATTCTTATGACAATTTAATGGGATTGTTTGACAAAGAATTAGTTGGTAATGAAAAGTAGTAATCATGTCACAATGAGGAATTAGAGATCAGTATTAGGAGATCTCAGTCTTCAAACCTGATCAAATTACTAACATACGAAAAGTGTTCAATTTAAATACTTTGAAACCATCCAAAATATGGGGAAAAAATCTTATTATTCCATAATAACATGTTTTCCCTGGGAAAATAACAGGGAATAAAAGTGTTATATGAAAAATCCCGTATCAGATCCCGTATCAGCCAAAATCCCGTATCAGATCCCGTATTGGATCCCGTATCAGCAAAAATCCCGTATCAGATCCCGTATCAGAAATATTCTATAAAATAAATAAAATATATATAATAAATAAATAAAATATATATAAAATATATTTATTTTTAAGTAAAACTTGATAATAAAAGTTGAAAATGTTATATGATAAATTGTATAATTTTATGTCACAATCATTGGATGATGACATACAAAAATTGAAAAAAAAATATTATGAAATAAATAGGTTATTGATGGTCGTGATGGAATATGGATTTATTCCTTGAGAAAATATGATATTGGCCTCAGAAAATATCATATTGACACTCGGGCTATCGCCCTCGGTCAATATGATATTTTCCTTGGCCAATATCATATTTTCCCTCGGAATAAAATCCATATTCCATCCCTCCCATTAAATAACCTCTATATATTCTATGATCTCCACCTATATACACCCTTGATATCTAATTGTGACAAACTGAATCATGAAAAAACTCAATCTTAGAAGAAATACATAGATATCCACAAAAAGGATTCTGCAAATATTGAATTAACTCAAAAATATGAGTACTGGAAATGGAGCATCAATTCTAAACAAAGATCTTACTATGTAATGTGTCACTTATTTGGACATAAACATGATTCAATGTACATAATGTTTATAAACACCCACTTTTATTACAGATAACAGTTCTAAATCTGTGGGAGTCCCTTACAAAGAATTACTAACTTGAGCAACAAATAGCTCTATTGTTCAAAACTAGAAAACTTATGAAAATATACTCAATGGGAAGCATTAAGTTACTTGTGAAAGAGATAGTGTTTCTCTTCTGAAACAGTATCAAATGAAACAAAAATGCCTTATAAGGGATTATTGTGTCTCATACAAGGGAAAGGCAGCTTGATAAACCGAACATTCAGGTTAATGAGATAAACTTCACCTATTTTTTCTATTAGTAAGTGTAATCCAACTGAACACCTCTTCCATTTTCCAGCAAATTCATATGAAGAATTCTTCAAGTGAAATCAGAGAAATCTGCAAGTGAACAGGATTCTCACTTCACTGGGATATGAAAATTCTGAAAAACTACAACATGAGAATAACTGTTGATTATGCACAAATAACTGTTGATTATGCACAAAAAACTTCAAGATTTTGCTAAAATGAGTGGCTAAAATCAAAAGTCAGTGTGCTTTATAACTAACATTTAACTGATATATACCAGGAAACATTACTGAAAAATCAGAAATTTTTTTGGACAATATTTTGATACATGCATGTATCTTATCAATATTATCATTGAATTCCACATCAATTTTCATACAATTACTTTAACTGTTTCATTTTCATGTACTGATTTGTTCTTTATAAGATGGTCAATTGCAATTTGATCAAAATATGTGAATGCACCAATCATGTAAAATCTAAGAATGTAATTAGGCTCACACAAGATACACCAGGTATATGTATACTAGTGGTGTCAATTAACCGCTCGAGCATTAACCGGTTAACCGGGGGTTTTTACCGGTTAAAGTCGGTTAACCGGCGGGAAATTTGAACTTATAATTTCAAATGAAATCTTCATCTTCGATCTTGAAAGTTGAAAAAAAATTGGAAAAAATGATATATCGGCGTTTATTTTTTACGTTCGTCAAGCTTTACGCTATTCTATGTAAGTAAGCGCGGGAAAGCAATGTGGCAGGATTAAAGTTGCTGATTGGATGTTTGTAAGGAATTATCGGACCTATCACATGTATGAGTAGCTCACATGAAACTGACGCTTGAAAACAAACAGATTAAAATGCAAAGTAAGCGCGGGAAAGCAATGTGGCAGGGATTAAAGTTGCTGATTGGATGTTTGTAAGGAGTTATGGGACTTATGACATGTATGAGTAGCTTACGTGAAACTGACACCATAAAACCAAACGGATTAGCATGCAAAATAAGCGCGGGAAATAACAGAATTATACACGGTCAACTAACCGCCCATAAAAACTCAGACCGGTCAAGGCATTATCGGCGGTTAACCGGTTAACCGGTTAATACTTGACACCTCTAATGTATACTATCATCATTCAGTCAAGGACTCTGTATGATGTCATATCCACCTCTCTGTTAAATGAGTTAGAATTTTTTAAATATTTCCTAATATAAAACAATTAGTTACTTTTAATTAAGTGATCCTACATTTTAACTATATTCATACAATTCTCTTATATAACTATGAGATTTCTATTGAATTAACAACAATTGATGTCTGGATGCTTGTCTTACATAATCATCAATGTTCAGAAACAGCTGCTAGAGAATATCATTGGCATTTGTTATTTACTCAGTGTGAATTATCTGCTGTTTTTCAAGGTGAAGTTGGAATGGTTAAATCCTTGTTGACCATGATGGCATCATACCGATCATATTTTTACTTGATAAAAGTGAACATACCATTTCTGGGGGGATATTCGTGTTTAAAGAGTCTAAAAGATTGCTCACAATCCAATTTTTTAATCAATAAAAATTTATTCATACCCAAAAAACAAATTGGTTTAGAACAAGACAATTTCATCAAGATTTTGTCATTCATTTGCATTTAATTAATTTGAAGTCAGACAACAGTTTTTTCATGGAAAATTGATAAACAGCAAATGTTTTATAAAGACCAACTACAGCTGATAATCCTGACATGTTCTACAGCATGTAGTTTATTCTATATTTATCAAATGTGGAACTTAAAGAATTTTGTGAGAAATCAGGCTTACCTATACTGCCTCTGTGATCCACAGAATTTGATCTATTGGCAACGAGAAGATGAGCATTGATCTCTTGTAGCTGATCATGCAGTTCTGCCAAATGTTTATCAGCCTTTTTAACCATGCTATTAACATCAGCCAAACTCTTTCTGTCCGAAGTAGCTTTGCGTAAATTCTCTGCCCCTTCTTTGATTTTAAATTCTTTCCTAATTTCATTTTTGATGTATTCTCTAGTTTCTTCAAGTTTGCTTTGTTGGCCAAGGTATGAAATGTCTGTACCTCGTGGTTCATATGAATTGCCCGATCCCTGGCCCTGTAATAAGAAAGATTTGAAAGTTACTTACATCTAATTATTCAATTCAATAATACTTGTAATTAATTACCTGAGTGCACTTCTGGGGAATGGTGAACTGCCTGTTATAGTGTGGTCTACAATTACTGTTATGATTTTTTTATATTTTGATCCCAATATTAGTGCATCGGCAACAGGTCTTACTGTATTAATAGAGTAATACAGCAGACAATTCATCCATTGATTATTAGCTTATCTTATCATTTCTGAAATAGCCAAATGAAAAACCTGTAGCTGCTGTCCTTTCGTCTATTTTAGAGTTATACCCTAAACTCAGAAACTTGTCTTCAAACGACCGTAAAACATTTGTCAAAAATTTATTAAGCAATGGTTTACTAATGCATCAGCAAAGAACTTTTTATTTTAATGTATTTCATGTATTTAACGTTTTCGTGATTGGTACCAATGTCTTCACAGGAATCACCAAGAGAAAATAAAAAAAGGTGGATAAGGATTTGACACTTCTTTTTTTAAGATACTATGCTTCATGGTCTACAATACAAAGATAAGATTTCTTATCAACTGGTTAGGGGTCAACTATTAGACCAGTCATCACATAATTTTTCATGCTAAAATAAAACACTGGTACTTTGATATGAAAGACACATGACAAATTGACAATGGACTTTTCTACCTCACGAAAGAATAAACCTGTCATTTTTGGAAGATGTCAAAGCTGGTGGACAGAAGCAAGAGATTCTCGAGAATCTGACAAGTACATCCCTCAATATTTGAGGTATGTCAATTTTCAGATCTGGAAATAATTCCACAACTCCAAAACACTACCCCCATAAATGTGGGGTTGATTTTTCAAATCACCCCCACATGTATGGAAATCTTGGTGATTTAAAAATCAACCACACAAGTGGCAAATTTCATGCAAAAATCAAGTCGAAATTTGGCAACAACAAAATATTTATGTTACCTTTTTCCTGAACTGTAAAACAAAATCGGGAAATGACTAAATCGATGGAATAATTTATAAACTATCTTAGCTTAGTATTTTCACTATTATACAATCCATGATAAGATAACCTCACCTGATAAAAGGCTGTCGAATCGGCCGCCATGTTCAAAAATCAAAAATTATTTTTGAATTTTTTCCTCTAATAAAGTTATTTTTCCATGCTATATCGGTGTTTTGCAAGTCATTTTGACTTTCGACTGTTAAAACTAGATGCCCTTTATATATCCAATGACGATCTTCTATGGAATTTAGCATGGAAACTGGGTAAATTAGTCATAAAATATTGAATTCGGGTTCAGTCTGACTAATTCTATAATGGAGGCCAAAATCCTGGATAGACCAATCAAAAAGCTTAATGTAAATATATTCGGGATTCATGACAAAATGTAACACACAATTTGATTGGTTGGTTTGTAAAACTATTATTTCGCGCCAAAGCAATCACATCATTCAGATGTGTGGTGTAGTAGCACCCCAGAGTCAGCAGTAGCACTAGACATGCTAGAGGCAACATTGAAATATAACAAAAATTAGATCATGAACCAATAAAGCATAGTTAATCATGTGTCTACTTATTGCCAGCTTGATATGCTGGATCCAACAAGATGATAAGAACCTCCATTCATAGCCAGTATCATTGTGGGGGCTCTCTTCTCTTGCCACGGTTAACCATTATTGTGGTCGAATCTGTCAAATAATCTGTTTATGGGTTTTCGGATTCTGGCTACGTCTCTTTCCACTCGAGTAAGGACTAAATGATGGGGAATGAATACATGAACGAAGTGATCATCATTCATGTCATTCACCAACATTATTTTCACAATAATATGTAATTTGCTCCATCAGAATGGACTTGATACTGTAGCTTTAAAATTAAACGGATTTTTTTTTGCAAGAATAAATATTATGTTAACAGTATTTAAGCATTTCAATGAGCATTAAATATGTTATTTTTCAAATTAAATTGTTTAATAATGTTACTCTGGAAAAGGCCACCAGTAAACTACAATATTCAATATAAAATGTGCAGATAAAGCCCTTCTTTATTCAGATGCCAAGGAAAATAAGGTATGTATCAAAATATGACATATATGGAAAATGGAAGACAAACTTGAAGAATGATAGATAAGCATAAGTTTTATTTTACATAATCACATATATCAGCCTTTTGAGAACATAAGAAAAGTTTCAACCTTCCACTAAACAAAAGTGATGTTAATTTGTTTTTAAACATTTAATTTATTACTTTAGCTTAGGCAGCAATGTCCATGTTATCAGGGTCCAGATTACTGAGATGATATAACAGCAGTCATGGACTTAGTCCACATTGTACTTATGTTTCAATGATAATGAGAACATTTCCCCCCTGTACTCCAGAATATTATCATTAAGCCATTTCAATGGTTCACCTTCTACTTTTCCCTGTTTAACATCTACAATAAGTTGTTCAAGATTGCAAAGTTGCTCAGCTTCCAGATTGGCTTCAATATGGCCACAAGACAACTTAATATTTTTCAATTCACCATAATGGGCTTGTAGATATTGCCTCAGTATACTGATAGAGTCACTATATGAAACAAAATTGGAAGTAGGAAAATGAAGCAAAATGTTAGCATAAGGGTACAGTAAGTCTCCAACAAAGACTCTATTGTCTTTGGGATAGTTCAGGGCCAAGGAGTCTGGTGTGTGGCCAGGAACATGTATAACATGTAATGCATTAACATTGTCCTTGTTGGTGTCATCTAGGTATATGACATCACCATCTTTAAGCCATTTTGTCACAGTAAATTCCTTGAGGTTGGATTTGACAGCAAGAGCAAGGGATGTATCTTTACTCAGGTATCCCAGAGTATATTCTGTATTGTGGTCACTCATACATATAGCAATACAATCACTAGCGCTGCCATCTTTTGAACTAAACCTATGGTTTGAACCAACATGGTCAAAATGATTGTGAGTGTTTATAACCAAAAATGGAAGATTTGTGAACTGAGGCAGAGTTCTTAGGTAAGATTTATAGTCCCCTGTTCCGACCCCAGTGTCCACAAGGACAATTTTATCTGATCCTTGTATGATGTACAGGAAAGGATATTCCTTGTATGGATCATCCTCTACTACCCGCCACACTGTCTTAGATAACTGTTCCAAATTAGTGAAAACCTGCAGATTGTCTTTGTCAACATCATCATTTGGACCTGAATGAAAAAAAGAAAAAATCAGTGAATGGCGATCTATATATTTATATTATTTCATATTTTATGTAAGCTTTAATGCTGGGGAGATCACTGATACCCAATTTCACATTTTCTTTGCCAATCCTATGTATCCAACTATTAGGTATCAATGATACATATTTATCTCTCAAACAGATTGTTAACTGAGAGTAGGCTACATGTACATTGGAAATATTCATTTGATTTATTCCGTTTTTAATCATATGCAGATATTTTACAGGTAGGGCTGAATAATCAGAATCCTTCACATATTTGGTGAAAAATTACAATCCATATTTTTCAATGTTATAATGTAATAAATACTGCACAGCTCCTAAATGTACTTACTTACTTTCTTGCTTGTCAGTAAATGTCATCTTCAATATCTCCCTTGGCACACTTGACGGTATGCATTTAACTGTCTCAACATCAAACACCCCTGCCTCTCTGACATACTCCTTGAATTGCCCAACACTACCACCAACGCCAAAGTAATAGCTCTTGGCAGCTAGGTACACAACCCCATCTGGTTGAAGTAAGCTTTGTAGAGCCCTATGTAATTTTGGTTGTGACTCAATGCTGTAGATTGTCTCTGAGGTCAGGATGATGTCATATTTGTCAGTAGACATATTTGTATCGTTGATTTCCTTTAGTAGGAGATCAGTTACACTTTCCCAATCACCCGAGTATAGTTTACAAGTTTTGTTAATTGTTTCTCTAATATCAGTTTCATTTTCATCAGCAGTGTTAATAATAATATTTGGGACAGTTATCACATCCAGAACCTCTTTGTTATAATCCTGAAAGTCTACATACGCCTTATTCTTGTAGGCGTACAGTCCTGAGAGTCCTGCCCCACATCCTAACTCAAGAATTCGCTTATTTGAGACTGCATTATTTCCAAGTTCACTAAGATACTCAGCTAAATCCAAAGAGCATTCCCAGACTTTGAAACCACCTTCATAAACATTGGGAATCAAATCAGTGTTCTCAGTATCTGTTTTATCAACAAGAGAACTCTCTGCTTTTTTTGTGGCCACAGTCTCATTGACATAAGCAATTGTTTCACCATTTTGTAAGTGAAGAGTCTCAAAATCTGGACCATCAATGCATTGATTAACCCTCTTTAAAGTCACTGTATATTCCTCTGCATGTTGTAGAGCTACAGGTGTTGCTGAAGTTTTCTCAGTAACAGAAGTGGTATTGTCAGAATCATTGGAACCAAAGTTAAATCTAAATGCCATTTTTATAATGGAATCCTGAAAGTATAAGAACATAACATATTAAACAGTAAAGAGGGGAATTTCTCTAAAATAAAATATTGGACAATTTGCTTTTTGTACTTTTCATATAGGCCTAACTCCAGAATCATGATAACCAATGTTATTACATGTGCATTTCATTCACTTTGAGAGATATTGATTTCTTGTGATTTGCCAAAGCACAACCATGGAGTTCCAAAATATGTAGATTTTATCAGAATATGGACCTATTACATAATGATGCAACCAGCTAGCGAAGTAATATTATATCCAATTGACCGTCAAGTTATTTCACTTACAAGTCATTGATTCATTTCTCACAATACACATTTATTTGATGTATAAAAACTGTCACTAGTAATTGTGAACTTTCAAGTGACACTGAAACCTCCTCAAGGAATTTAGGAAAACAATGAATTGCGATATCAAAAGGTGCAGGTTTACATACATCATTGTTTGCTTACTTTCCATACTAATCCCTATACTGAAGATTTCAAACTCTTGCAGGGGCAAAAAAATTTGGGGCAAAAAGTTGGCCTTTATGGTCATTACTAGGCCTTTTAAGGCCCTATTTGTTAAGTTTAGGCCAAAATTTGAGGAAATTGGGCTTCAAAATTTGGGCCCTTTTGGTTGCCCCACCCTTGATGCATGATTTCTAGATCTATATCTCGATCTAAGAACCTGAGGCCATCCAACTGTCCAGCAATTTGCATATTTGTCACGCATTTGCTGGAAAATTTGAAGTCACGCCAGTTTTTTCTGCGTGACAGAATATGTCACGCAAATATGCATTCTTTGTAATTGTCACAAAACTATAACGAAATATAAACATTGGAAACATTAGAGATATATCAAAATTTCTACGAATTTTAAAAGAATTTGGTTGACCATTTAATAGTTTCATTTTTAAGTTCAACTGGTTGCTTTGAAGCAGCGCAAAAGTCAACAGATTGTAATAAATAATTTGCCCTGGGCGATAATAAGTGAAAACTCATTACTCTGGCGTTTACCTATTGAATTGTACACTATTTAAAGACATAAAACGAATCTATATAAAAACACATGAACTGCCTTGATTATTAGGGCACAAATACGCATAAAATATCTCAAAATCGACCGATACTACACATATAAAAGTAATACATGGGAAGTGACAAACCAACAAGCTCTTCTGTAAGGAGGTATGAAATTTACGGAGACACACTCAAATGCAGGTTTTTTTCTGGCACAACCGTGGCAATGTTAGCGAAAACTGCAGGAATCTGCCGCAACCGTGGCACGTTATATATTAACATAATTAACATTGTCCCGGTTGTACCAGACATTGTTATATTGTTATACATTGACCCGGTTCTACCAGACATTGTTACACTGTTATACATTGTCCCGGTTGTACCAGACATTGTTATATTGTTATATATTGTCCTGCTTCTACCAGACATTGTTACACTGTTATACATTGTCCCGGTTGTACCAGACATTGTTACACTGTTATATATTGTCCCGGTTGTACCAGACATTGTTACACTGTTATACATTGTCCCGGTTGTACCAGACATTGTTACACTGTTATACATTGTCCCGGTTGTACCAGACATTGTTACACTGTTATACATTGTCCCGGTTCTACCAGACATTGTTACACTGTTATACATTGTCCCGGTTCTACCAGACATTGTTACACTTTGTATACATTGTCCCGGTTGTACCAGACATTGTTACACTGTTATATATTGTCCCGGTTGTACCAGACATTGTTATATTGTTATATATTGTATCTGTTGTACCAGACATTGTTACACTGTTATACATTGTCCCGGTTGTACCAGACATTGTTACACTTTGTATACATTGTCACGGTTGTACCAGACATTGTTACACTGTTATACATTGTCACGGTTGTACCAGACATTGTTACACTGTTATACATCGTCCCGGTTGTACCAGACATTGTTACACTTTGTATACATTGTCACGGTTGTACCAGACATTGTTACACTGTTATAGATTGTCACGGTTGTACCAGACATTGTTACACTGTTATACATTGTCCCGGTTGTACCAGACATTGTTACACTTTGTATACATTGTCACGGTTGTACCAGACATTGTTACACTGTTATACATTGTCCCGGTTGTACCAGACATTGTTACACTTTGTATACATTGTGACGGTTGTACCAGACATTGTTACACTGTGATACATTGTCCCGGTTGTACCAGACATTGTTACACTTTGTATACATTGTCACGGTTGTACCAGACATTGTTACACTGTTATACATTGTCACGGTTGTACCAGACATTGTTACTTTATTGAACATTGTACCTGTTGTTACAGAGTGTTATAATTTTAAATGTTGTCACTGTTGATCCAGACCTTTTTATATTGTTTACCATTGTCACAATTGACGCCGACATTGTTATATTTTTGAAAATTGTATCTGTTGTTACAGAAAATGTTACAATATTTAACATTGTCACGGTTGTACCATACATTCTTACTTTATTAAACATTGTATCAGTTGTTAAAAACTGTGTCAGACTTTTTCAGATTATCCAGGTTGTACCCGTCATTGTTTCAATCTGTTACAGAACCTCTTACAATTTGTAGTATTGTAACAATTGTAACAAGTTGTTGCAGAATGTGTAATAGTTTTTAACATTATTGCGTTTGTACCATATATTGTTACATCACATAATGTGTTGTTGCAGAATGTGTAACAAGTTTTAATATTGTCACGGTTGTACCAGACATTGTTACATTATTAAACACTGTCATGGTTCTACCAAACATTGTTACATTATTGAACATTGTATAAATAGTGACAAGACGTTATTATTACTTACATCGTTTTATTATTTAAACTTGTTACAAAACTTGCTAAAGTTTTAAACATAGTCACAATTGTACCAGGCATTGTTACATTATGTAACCTTTCCACGCTTGTATCAGACAGTGTTACATTGATAAAAATGTAAAATTTTCACCGGAAATAATGAGAATCTTAACATTGTCACTGTTGCACCAGACATTGTTACATTGTTATATATTGTCGCGGTTCTACCAGACATTGTTACATTGTTATATATTGTATCTGTTGTTACAAAATGTGTTACATTTTTATCGTTGTCACGGTTGTACCAGACATAGTTTGATTATTAAAAATTGTAAGTGTTGTTACAAAATGTGTTACAGTTTTTTTCATTGACACGATCGTACAAGACAATGATATATTATTGAACATGGTATCTGTTGTTACAGTTTAATCACTGTCACGGTTGTACCAGACAATGAAATATTATTGAACATGGTATCTGTTGTTACAGTTTAATCACTGTCACGGTTGTACCAGACAATGAAATATTATTGAACATGGTATCTGTTGTTACAGTTTAATCACTGTCACGGTTGTACCAGACAATGAAATATTATTGAACATGGTATCTGTTGTTACAGTTTAATCACTGTCACGGTTGTACCAGACAATGAAATATTATTGAACATGGTATCTGTTGTTACAGTTTAATCACTGTCACGGTTGTACCAGACAATGAAATATTATTGAACATGGTATCTGTTGTTACAGTTTAATCACTGTCACGGTTGTACCAGACAATGAAATATTATTGAACATGGTATCTGTTGTTACAGTTTAATCACTGTCACGGTTGTACCAGACAATGAAATATTATTGAACATGGTATCTGTTGTTACAGTTTAATCACTGTCACGGTTGTACCAGACAATGAAATATTATTGAACATCTTTGTTGTAACAAAATGTGTTCAGTTTTTATCCTTGTCACGTTTGTAACAGACATTGTTGCATTCGTTTACATTTTATATATTGTTAGAAGTATGGTATAAAAATCTGTATTGCTACTGAGATACATAATGTACAAATAATCCAAAGTTTTTAAGAATTTTAGCATTGCATCTATGGAGATTTCGCCCAAGTTTTTTTAAAAGTGTAATAGAAAATTATTCAAATAACATAACTGTATAAATGAAAGCTATTATAGGAGAAAACATTTCACTGAATTCAAATATGCCATCATGGGCTTTCAACTCTAGTTGAAAGCCCATGATGCCATTTAAAAGAAGGTAATGTAAGTCAGTAGAGGTTTAAAATGCAAATCTCTTAAAATCTCACAAAAACGAGGTTTAGCGAGATTTCAAAACCTATAAGGAAACTATACTATTGCAATGCATGTAATCTCATCAGGTGTTACATATGAAATAGGTGCCCCAATATTAAAGTTATATTTGATTAGATTGGACACAGATGATCTCGTTAAATACACAGCTTTGTGTCGAAAACATAATCAAGCATTCGACCTACATCATATATACGTATCTCGATCGAATTTGATGAAATACTATAAATTCTTTACGGAACGACCTACCTCGGCTTTGATTTTTAACGTTTGGATGTACGTAAACCGAGAAATAACACAGGATCTTGTAACACGTTTATGATGACTGATATATTATACTATAGGGCCTATCATAGTGCTCATCTCATATCATAGTGCTACATGTCTCTGTGAGAAATAAGTAGAACAATATGACTTCACATTCTAAGAAAAACATGCGCACGCCTCTTTCTTGTCTCCAACCTTTTCCGCCCCATTGCTCTCTTTAGCAGTTCCTCTGTTTTTGTTTGTTCCCTCTCCTCTTTTCATTTTAATTTCCTTCTTCTCTTTTAGACTTCTCTTTCCCTAATCTCTTAACATACTTGCTTCCTTGGCAAGTATGTCAAATTGGCCAATCTCTTCTTCTGTGCCTGACCTGAAAAAGTTCGTGTCATTTAGATCTCATTTGAGCATCAAAACTATATTATTTTTCATTGGAGAGACTACTAAAACACGCCTGGGAACATCAGGGTGTTAAAGAGAGATTTTATTAAGAAACATTGTAAAACTTACAAAATTAAAAGCATTCTGGTTACCGTATTGAAAAGGTATCTAGTCTTATACTATCTTTTCTTAAATTATTAACTGGTACTTGAATTATATCAGATAAATCAAAAATACTTTTCAGAGGCATAACATTTGGATTGACTTGAGGAAAATATCATAACGGAGTATTAGTACTTTGTTCGACCTATTCTGATTTTTTAATAAGTTCTTGTCCGAAGAATGAAGATAAAGCTCTCTTTTAAATGTCTACTTTGTGAATAACGTCCTCAATATATATATATGTAATTAAGTGAATCCATCTTATCAATCAGCACTAAAACCAAGGTTTATTGATATAAATTGATATTAATTTCTCTTCCTGATGGCATCTTCTCTTTTGTAGCTATTTATAAGTAAGTCTGTCCTCTCCATTGTCATCCTTCTTAAAACTGTAAATCCAGATCTGGTCATTTCTTGGCCAATGGGATCCCACATCTTAGCATTCCTGAAAGGATCCCAGGATATGACAAATTCTAACATTTTCATGCATCATCACATTGCAACATTTATCGGATCAATGGTTGTGTTCGAGCTATGTTTTTCATAAAGATCAAACGATAAATGTTTAGTGTAACTGATCAAAAAGTTTGTGTATGATACTTGAGCTACAAATTACACAATTTTATGAATAAAAACTAACGTTCTACACGTATTATTATTACTACACATTTATACGTAATTTCCTCTCGCTGACGTCATAACATAGGTGAAATACCGCTGAGAGCAATAATAAGTATATTGGTAAATTGACTTTTTAATCTTCTTTTAAACTACCTAAAAGGGAGGTTAAGATTAGCGTTGATAACCCAGTAACCTGTACCTATACGTACTTTGTTATTACACTAAACTATATCTTAATTAAATTACAGGGTTTGCGATACGTAATTACCTATAAATGGCCGAAGGGAGGTAATTCGAAAACGTTTGTTTTTATCCAAAGAATTATGTAATTTTTAGATCAAATATCATTCATTGAACTTTTAATATAATAAGAAACATTTCTCATTTAATCTGCATAGAAATGAAGTGGTGGAACACATTCCTTGCTGTGATAAACTATGCCGTGTGATGATGCATGAAATTGTATTTACCCATTACCCATACGCATCCGTAACAAACATACGGATAGGCAAAAGTATATTTTTACGCTAGTCTAAAATTCTCTAATAGAGAGGTTTCAAATAACAATAACGGGTTACCTAAAATGTATCCGCATCTG